AGGGTAACGGCCAATACCCGGGATCCAACAGAGGGAAAGATGGGACCTAACTGGGAAGGGCCTTACAAAGTAACATCAATCGGGGGCGCCGGGTCGTATGGACTAGAAGATATGAGTGGAAGACCTGTAATACGACCATGGAATGTTATGAATTTGAAGAAGTATTACTTTTAAAGTACTCTCTCTCAAGAACTCGCCAAACAAAAGACAAAGGGTATGGCCCTGGGGACAGAGTTCAAGGACCCTCGTCCCCGAAGTACATACAGGAGCAAGCCTCCTGCAAGGGTATGGCCCTGGGGACAGAGTTCAAGGACTCTCGTCCCCGAAGTACATACAGGAGCAAGCCTCCTGCAAGGGTATGGCCCTGGGGACAGAGTTCAAGGACTCTCGTCCCCGAAGTACATACAGGAGCAAGCCTCCTGCAAGGGTATGGCCCTGGGGACAGAGTTCAAGGACTCTCGTCCCCGAAGTACATACAGGAGCAAGCCTCCTGCAACGGTATGGCCCTGGGGACAGAGTGCAAGGACTACTGTCCCGAGGCCAAAACAAGAAAAAAAAACTGGAAACAAGCATTCATAAAGAAATGGTCCTGAGGACAAAACACAAGCCTCAAGTCCCCAGAGTAGATACAAGATCTCGCCTCCAGAACGGCCAGCACGCCCCGAAGACAGTTCAAAGACACATATATTTATTCTACACAGAAGTAAAGAAAAGCAAAACACTACTGTATACAGAGGAAGACAAAAAATGAAAAGACTAGTTATTTATTTCCAAAAGAATAGGGGTTTGCGTCCCCGAAAGCTACAAAAGGAAAGCAAAAGGGGTACAAAAAAGGGGAAGGGAAAAGCAGCTTCATCGGGCTCCGGGCACCTCCAGAACTTCGGCCGAGGGCGAATCAGCGATAAAAGGTTGGGAAGCTTCTGGAGCGGGCAGGAGAAGAACTTCGGCAGCAGGAACAGCTGGGACAGTTTGAGCAGCTTGAGGTTCTAGGGCAAGGTCGGACGGAGCGTCCTCGGACAAGTCCACTATCACCATCTCGGGAGCATCAGCCGAGGTTTGCATCGGTGTAGGGGCTTCATCCTCGGCAGCAACCTGTGCTTCTGCCTGCTCCATCTCTGCCGAGGGCACATACTTGTGCACTTGGAAGAGAGGGGAGTCTGACGGGACTCCAGCAGCCTGGAGCGCCTCGTCCCACCCTTTCTTGAAGAACTCTTTGCTATTTTCTTCAAGAGCGGGGAGCACGTCATCGGCAAACTCCTCCAGAAGTTGTTGCTCCGACTTCCGGTTCAGCTCCTCGGCTCTGATCCTATCTAGCTCCTGGGTAAGGGCCAGGCAGCTTTCCTCGGAGCCCACTGCCCTCTCCTCCGCCGCAGAGAGCCGCTGCGTTTGCTCAGTAATCCTCCTCTCAGCATCGGCAAGTGCGGCACTTAGCTTCTCAGCGCCCGACTTGGCCGATTCAGCGTCCTTGAGGAGTTGCTCTATCTGGGCAGCCTGCCCCACCAGGGTGGAATCCCTGGCAGCAACATCTTCCGTTGCCCGAGCAAGGGCAGCTTCCGCTTCTGCCTTCTGATCCTTGGCCCTCTGAAGATCCATCCTGGACGCGTAGTACCGGCCAGCAATGATAGAAATCTGCTGGGTAGCCTGTAAAGGAAGGAAAAGAGTGTTAAAAACACAAAAATAGAAAACGAGAGTGAAGAGATCAAAACAGGAATAAACTCACCACCAGGGAATTCTGGATCATGGAGCGGAACAACACGTTGGTTGATCGCCCCCTATGAGCCTCCATGTCGGCCTCGAAATGCAGTGTCTCACTCACTGCATTAGCGACATGAGGATCCGACAGAATAGAATCATCGACCCTGATCACTCTGTTCATGTGATCAGTGGCTCGAGGATTCCACTCTGCGGCCTCCCCCCGAGGCGGAACGGGAGGAGGGGTCTGCTGTTGCTGTTGTTGCTGCTGCAGCTGTTGCTGTTGTCGGGGCTGCTGTTGTTGTTGCTGTTGTGGGGGAGCAGGCGGTAACCCACGATCCCTCCCGCTTTGAGGTTGAGCGGGAGATGCCCTGGGTCCCCGGCTGAGGCCGTCATGCCGATGCTTTACCCTCCTCTCTTCTTCCACCTGAGGATCCCGGTCTCGCACCTGACCCTGACCGGGAGCCCTCGAAGAATTGGCGGAACTGGTTCCTGCCGGAGTACCGCCGGTCGTCCCTCGGCCTCTCCCGGCTGCGAGGGATTGCCTCTGCCTAAGAAACCCCAAATTGATGCGAGGGGCGTTGGACATCGCTTCCTCGAGAGCGTCTTCGGCGTCCAAAGATTGGAGAATTTGAAAATCCGGCCACAGGTCGCCTCCCGAAGTCCCCACCTCGGCGTCCGAAGGAGCAACGTCCTCTCTGACCCCGACCTCAGCAACTCCTTCTACCTCTCCCTCTGAAGCCCGATCCGGGTCTTCCTCCAAGTTCTGCTCGACCTCTAACCTCGCCGCCTGATCAAAGAGCTCTGACCACTGCGAAGGCTCGAAAGGTTGAGGGAGCTGTGAAAACTTCTTATACCCGGGGGTATAGTGCAGCAGAATGTGGGCAGCTCGGCCAAATCCGTCGGCGCCCGTGAAACTCCAAACTGTTACTAGGTCGGCAAAGTTGACCAGCGACCGAGGGGGTGGAGCTGTTTCCCGAGAAGGAATATCTGCACAACAAAAAAGATTGTCATAAACATGAGAAGTCCCAAGAAACAAATAAAAAGACCCAAAGGAACCGACGTACTTGTCATTCTCCATTCCCGAGGGCAAAATAAGTCATTGTACTCGGGACCGACACCCCTCTCCCAACATCCCTTGAAGATCAAGATGTCGTCCTTGTACCCCTTGTCCGAGTCAGGAAGATGGGTTACAAGGTACATGGAGGGGTCCCTGGCTTTGAGGTAGAAATGTTGGTGGGGCATGACTCTTAGGAGGGAATAACAGAAAAGGAGATCATTGAGCCCAATATTCACCCCGAGGCGCCTATTGAGCTCTAGGACCCCCATAATTATCCGAAAGACGTTGAGGCAGCATTGCCCGGGGAAGAGACGGAAGCGAGACAGGAACTGAAGAAGCAGGGGGGGTAAAGGAAACCTAATACCACCCTCTATGATGGCCTTGGTATAGAAAGGCATGGCATCCGCGGCCCCGAAGGTAGGAGAGTTCAACAAGGGGTTAAAGCCCACTACGTCCACGCTCGGGGGGATGCCATACTTCGCCCTGAACCTATCGATCTGCGCCTCGCCTGTCACCTTGTATTTCCCTGACCCCGAGGGACCAGCCGATGGATTCTCGGGAACAGGGCGACGACGAGGCATCTCTAAAAGAAAGGGAAGGAAAAGGTGTTCTCTCTTGAAAACCTGAGGAAGTTCCCCGAGGGTTTAAATCAAGACGTACCGACCGGATGACACCACCGTTCAAATCGGAAAACAAGAAGGCTAGGAGGACGATAAAGAAGAAGGTTGTGAAACTCACCAGAAGACGTCGAAAACGGAGTTTTTCAGGAAAAACTTTGAAAATGACTCGCACCGGAAGGACCAGGAGTCAACAATGGGTTTACTGACTGATTTTAAGAGAAGATGCTGTCGATGATGGCTGAGGAAACAAAAACTCCGGCGAGCAGATCAGAAAAGGCGTATTCTGGGTCAGAGATCGGAATGGCAAAACACTGGAAACCGGAGAAGAACCCCCTTTATATAGGGGGGAAACTGTCATCATTGGGCGGGAGAACCAAAACGGCGCATTTAATGCGCACGACATCCCAAGACGGGGAAAGCTGCTCGAGGCCATAATGAAGGACGGATGGCAGTTGGAAAACCCTTCGCCTCCTGACAACGCGTGTCCTCGGCGTCAGAAGATCGAAGGCTGGGGGGCAGTTGATGGGACTCTTCTGAAAAGCCTATGATGAAGACACGTGTCCTCGGGGGTTTCTAGAACAATGTTGCTCGGGTTCAAGCACCATCGGCAAAAGCGTCCTCTCCCCCGAGGTACCTCTCATATAGGATCACATATTCGATGCATTATACGACGACACGTGTCCTCGGTCACCATGTACCTCGGAAACACACCACCCCTTGGTCCCCCGAGGTGAGCCTTTCCTCGGTGCCGAGGGTCACTCCATCCTGGACGCTTCCTCTACTCACGGATAAAGTTACTGACGTACGGGACATCAGCCTATGTCAGTCTAGACTATTCATCATGACCTCGTCTTACACAAGTAATGTCAGAACATGCTGGAATATAGAAGTCATAGCCAATACGTGATGGACGCGTGGCATATGATATCACATCAAAAACAGGCAAACCGCACGCTATTGCTGACATGCGCTTTGGGAAGCAAACAATTAATTGCACCCTTCTGTTGACGAGACCGCATTCAATGCGGTAAGGTTCGGATATGAAAGGCAATAAATGCTCCTATTACGGAGCATTTATTACATCCTTCCCGAAAGGAGCATATTGTACCGTCGGCGTCCCGACGACTCAACATTGATTGCTCGGGACCCCGAGTAGTCAATTAGAGAAGACATTCCTCGTCAAATCAATACACACGCTACCAGTGCCTGATGATCACCTACTGACCACACTGACAGCAATCATGAGCTTCTAAGGTATAAATACCCCTCCCAAAAAGGCAAAGCGGGAGGCAATCACAAACTCACTACTACAAAATATCCTTATCAGTGTTTTCTCCTTCCTCTCTCTCATTCAAAGACTGACTAGACCGTCGGAGGGGATACGCCGGAAAACACTCCGGCGCCCTTCTAACTCGTTCTCCTTTGTTCCAGGAAATACCTTTCGCACATACAGGATCGTTCTTCCTTTCCCAGGATCTTCCTTTGCCGTTCCAGGTTGCCACCGTTCCTTGTAGGCTGTTCCGAGCAGTGTGTTTGGCCACTCAACCGGCTCACCCAAAGTTCACCAGGGGAGAGATCTGTTCCCAATATTTTATATATCGTGCAGGATCAAGCCCGCACAGTTACAAATGGTGAGTTGAAATAGAAATCCTTTCTTCTCACTTGTGGGAAGTCTTCTTGCTTTTTAAAATCCAAGATAAGTTTTCTCATTGTGTGCTTTTGCCTTGTTTGCAGGAAATTGAGTCTATATCCGAATGGATACGAAAAGGAAAATGGGAAAGGGCATATCTCTCTCTACTTGGCAATATCAGAGACAGATACATGACCTCTTGGTTGGGAGGTCAATGTCAAATTCGAATTGTTTGTGTATGATCATATCCGAGACAAGTACTTGACCCTCCAAAGTAAGATTTCTCAAAATGCACATTCTTGCACTCGAAGTAATAAAAAGTCTGTTTAAGTGGTCAGAAACAGTATAACTTAAATTTTTTCTTTGCGTAACCGGCGTCTATCATGTATGTAGATGCTGATGGGAGACTAAGACATTTCCACAGGTTTAAGACGGAGTTCGGTTTTGCCAAATTACTTTCCATTGACACTTTCAAAGATGCTTCTAACGGATACCTTATTGATGACTCCTGTGTGTTTGGAGCTGAGGTTTATGTCATTAAATCTACTGGCAGAGGAGAGTGTCTTTCTTTGAAGGAGGAAACTTATGACAATAGTTACTCTTGGGAGATCAAAAAAATTGCAGAAATAAAAGAGGAGCGTTTGTTCTCTGAACCTTTCACCATTGGAGAGCACAAATGGTTTAAGCCCTTTGAGTTCCTCACTTAATTCTTATTCTCTTTGTACCATAACCAAATGGAATTGTTTCTTATATGTTGTTTTCGTTATTGGTCTAGGAAGATACATGTTTATCCCAAAGGACAAGGCAGTGGACAGGGCAAAAGCTTATCTGTCTTTCTATGTTTAGATAATTGCAGATCCCTTCCAACCAAGGTAAAATTGTATGTGGAATTTAGCGTCTTGGTAAAAGATCAAGTCAACGGCAAACACCGCGAAAGGAAAGGTGAAAAGACATATGTTTTTTTTACAGAGACTGGGAAACTGTTTGTTCACTTCCTTTAAAAGTTTCCTCTTAATTATTCTCTCACAGGTGATGGTTGGTTCTGTGACCTAAGCAAAAGCAGGGGTTTCGATCTAATTTCTCTTCCTGATCTGCATGACAAATCAAAGGGCTTCGTAGTACGAGATAGTCTGGTTGTTGAAGTACAAATTCACGTGATGTCTGATGTGGAAGAGTTCTCCTCCAAAAAGCCTCTGCTTGCTTTATGAACACTGTTTATATAGGTGATGCTCCGAAAGCCAACGTTGTTCCTTCTTTTATTAAGTACCTTGCCAGTAACCATTTTCAAGCGATTATAATTGTTACCTCATCTTAGTCATCTACCTAGAAAAAGGAAAAGTACATTGGAACCTCGTTTGTTAGATATTCTTTGAGCTCGTTTGGTAGATGTATTATAAAAAGATTAAACATTAGATTGTACTATTTTTTTAGTTAATTGTGTTTAATATTTTGTTTGGTAAACAAATTTGATACCGTATCAATTTTAAAAACGTATATTATTCATATATTTTTTATTCGATAAACTTATATTATTTAGGTCTTTTAATACCACCAAGAGAGGTGATATTATAATCCAACCAAATGTATTATTGTACACATTTATTATTATAACTCCCAAGTAATAAATTTAGTTGTCATTAATGTAATAAACACTGATTGAATGTATTTTTGTTAATTCAAAATTTATACGATAAAATAATTCTCTTACTAAATAACCGATTAGATTAAATAATTACTACTTAACACTTATATTGTGTATTGTCAAACGTTATATAAAATTACGTATAATTCTAATATCATATTTAATCATGTCTTTTATCTATCTGTATTATATTTGACTGTATTATTTTATACAATCTATCTATTTTTAGTACGACAACCAAATGAATCTTTTAAGTTTTGCATTTGGTATTTCAATGATAAAGTGAAAAAGAAAGAGAAATTTGGATGTCGTTACACATAACTTATTGGGATGGAAGTCTATTTTGGAAAAATATTTTGTGTAAAAATCTATTTTTGAGTTTGAATGACTATCGTACTCTTAGGGCTTATTTAGATGGATTTTTGGGGAGAGTTTAGATTAATTTTCCAAAATTCTTTCAAACTCAAATCTTTTTCTATAAAGATAGGATTCAATATTGAATGTAATTCATACTCATGTTTGGTATGTAACACATACATATGTAGGACTCACAAATATAATTATAATTATTAATAACTATTTGTCCTGTAAATGATTATTTTATGCTTGATCAATCTAATTCATACTTGTGTTAAGGAGTATAATTGTCTTTTGAATCCTTAATCTCTTAACCCATCTCCCTCTTAGATTTGATGAAACTCATGATCATGATTTTAATATTCGGGTCAGCTACAGGCAGGGTTTGGAATCCTATGATTGAATTTTCAATCCAAATATAAGATTTGGAGGTCCTTTGGACTATTTTTCCCAAACACATCTTGTCAAGCCCTCTCATACTCCCTTACCAAATGGCCTCTTAAACTTAAGATTAATTGTTATAAAACACCAGTTTAGGAACCAATCAGAAAAGAAGCAACTCTTCCAAAAAAAAAAGGCATCTAAATCGCTGTGAATTTGGCTGTGGATTTTGCTTCGGAATTTTAAATCACAGTTAATTATTGTAGGCTCTAATTATTATGTTGATTCTATTAATTTGGAGGCTGAATTTTGGGCGTTATATGATTGACTTGAGCTTTTACAGGATTTTGCAATAAATGACTACAAAATTTCTATAGAATTGGATTCCAAGATTCTGGTAGTGATGATAAATGGTGGTACGGAGTTTAATTGGAAGTTGTGGTATATTTGAATTAGGATTTCTCGTATGCTAAGCAGATTGAATTTTCAAATAACCCATGTTTTTAGGGACACTAATGCAACAACACATTTTTAAAAATGTTATATAATCTAAATGAAACCTAAAAATTAAAACTCAAATGTATATCATCTCTTAGATAAGTGTGGGATGAGTGGATCCCACTGAACAAATTACAGAGACCCACTCATCTAACTAATAATATGTATTTGAGTTATAATTTTTTGAGTTTCATTTAAGTTTTGTAGTATTACTCATAGATTTTTGATTGACAAGTAAACAGTTTATTTACCGACAGTCTCTAAAGAATCTATTCTCATTTTGTTTTATAAGTTCCAATATTTTCCATGACAAGATATGTAAACATCATATTTGGTTATGAATACAGTTCTTCGGATAGGTTGGGTTTGTTGGTTTTTGGAAACATTCGACTCCCATTACTAGATGTTCTTGTTGATCACTTACTATGATGTTCTTGCTGATTTTTAGTTGTCATTCGATGTCTTGGTTTTAACTAAGGTTGAAATTGCTTAGTTTATCACGAACTTTATATTAAAAGTGAAAATTACAAGGCGGGTCAGTTTAAACAATTTGTTTTTGTTTGGAAAAAAAAATTTGCTAATCTTCAAAATTTGAAGCAGTAGATTCTCAGATTCGAAATTGTGACGTATTATTTAAGGAGGTGGGCACTTATCATCACTTTAGGCTAAGCAATGCCACAAAAAATCATTGAACTTTTACATCATTAGTTGACGAACTTTCCGTTGTTGGCAACTTTAAAACATAAAAATATTGAGCCTAAATGTGGTTGTTGAATCAAATTATCAAAGTTTTGTTCCCTTGTTTTCCGGTCTTTGTTTTTGTTATCACACGATTGTAAGTGCTAGTCATGAAAACACTAGTTAGAATGTGCTTGGCCTAAAATATAAACTTTCAAGAATACTCAGTGCATTTACACTTGGTATTCATAGATTTATTGAAGTGTTACGTGGCAGAATTTAGTTACAGCCACATTTGAAAAGAATTTAGTTACAGCCACATTTGAAAAGACTAAAATAACTAACTGAAAGTTAACATTAAGTAACCATCGAGAGAAGTAAAACCATCAAAAAAGATGGCAATAAAAGGTCATTCAATGAATGAGATACACACGTTCAAACCTCCAAAAAAACCTACGATCAAAGTATATTTAGAAGTACTTTTAGGTTAGTTTAGGAAGCAGTTAATGCTATATTCAAGACTATTTTATTTAGTTTCTTGTAACTGAAGTCCTTTCGATTTGATTAATAAAAGAATTTTCTTTTATTAGTTCTTTTGTTTTAATTACCTTTTGCACAGTAAGAATCTCCATTATTTTTATCTAAAGAAGTCCTGATATAAGATATTTGAACTCATTCCAAACAATCGCTTAGAAACTGTCTGTCAATTAGAAGATTTTTCTTGATCCCATCAAATTTTGGTACAACAATCTATAAGATGCCGTATTAAAATTAAACAAGGATAATATTATATTAAGATTTTTCATAAAATGAATAAACTGATGGTAGAAACATAGAATCATTGTTGAAAGATTGATTATGAAATTTGAGTTTCAAGCGTATTGACTTTCAAAGTAAATTGAGTTTTGAAAATGTTTAAGTTTGACTTTAGATCAAAATAAGGTTTCCATTGAATCAGAAAGGTCGAAAAATATTAGAAGATGTTATATGAGTTGTATTATAAGTTTAGAAGAATTCTAGAGTTAAAACTATTTTGGAGAGGATTTTGTTAGAAAAGAGTTTGATATTATATTAGAATTTTGGCAATAAACTTTTACCCCAATGTATGATTGACCTAAAATTTTTACAGTACAAACTAAATTTCAAAGGCTACAAAAGTGTATTTCACGAAAATTTTGTGAATCGGCCTCTTACAAGATCAAAATTGATCTAAAGTCAGAGACAAACTGTTACTTGCGTCCAAACAGAAATTCTCCACTTTTAAGCCTATAAATATCATAGGGCCGCAAGCTAAAGTGTCTTTACCTATATTTTCAACCCCAAGAATCCTAAAAAGGTTTGAAGAGAAGAAAAGGAAGAAGGACAGGTTGAATCTTGAATGATTAACACACGGTAATCGCAACAAAATATGTTATGATCAAGATCTTAAGAATCAAGGAAGATATTTTTTCTCAGATTCATTCATTGATGTTTAGGATCATATGATATATCTTTTTCATCCTTATTATGATATAAATAATTGATCTACAATGATTGTACATTCTTTTGAATTCATGATTCGTTTTTTGAACAAAATACATGATTTTCTTCCAGGATCACTCCACTCTTGATTTAAAATCTAGTTCTTTTGACTCTTATTCTATATATGTGATAGATATAGAAAGTTTTTACATTCTTTTTTTAATATATTCTTAAATTCTTGAATAAACAGATTATTTACATACAAATAAATGTTTTACATCCAAAAATCACATGTTCTTGACTAAAGAACCCTGGTTCTTGATTTATTATTTAATCTTCACATGTTTTACATCAAAATTTATATGTCTTAATTACAAAAACCCTAGTTCTTAATTACCATCAATTCAAATATGTTTTCTTGGGGATCTCTTGTATGTTTTCTTGAATTATTCATTTGAAAATATTATGGAACTATGATTCTTAATTGTAGTTGAATTTTATGAAAAAATTGTGTAATTTATCTCTTGTATGGGTGAATGTGATGAACGTGAATTGCACCTAAATCTATATCGTAGAGTGTTTAGATGTTTTCTCTTTCCTCGAGGTTTGAAGGTTTTCTATCACTTGTAGTGAGGTTGGTGCCTTGCAAGGACCAAACTACTATTCGTTCACGGTGATCAAGGTTAGGGGTTAGTATACTAGTCCTAAGAAGGATTTGTCATTGTCGATGTGTTAATATATGCCCTTTCTAAAATTTTATGGCCTTGCGAGGATTGATTTGATGGTTTGTAATTATGATGTGGTGTGGACCAAATATGTTCATGTTGTAATTTCATGTTAGTCTACGTGCGTATATGAGATATAATATTTGTGAATAACTATTGCATTGTGAATGAGTTTTACTTCTATGAACTTTACCATTTGGTACTGTAAATTTGAGATCTCATTAAAGGTCATTGTTTTACTTCAGAATTATATATATTATTTTACAAACTATGACTTACCTATTTTCATGATTTTTAAACCTTGTTTTGGTTTGAGAAGATTTTTTACTGGGCTTTATTGCTCATCCTACCATAACATTTTTTAGATTTTAGTATGGAGGAGAATCTAGAGTAAGATGAGCTGGTAGATTGAGAGGCTAAGGAGGATCATGATGTAAATTTAGCTGTGAAATTTGAGAATGAATTTTAGTCTTTAGAGTTTATATTTGACAATTTACTTATGTTAAGGATTTATTTATGTTTTTTTTTTCAGATTTATCTAATCAGATGTTGAATTATGAATGGTTTTATTTATTTAATGGTACTTTAGTATGCTCTCATGGTTGGATGTTATATAGATAATTAATGTCTTTAGGGTAGATTTTGGGGCATTATAAGTTTGGTATCAGAGTTTAGGAATTAAGTCTTACATTGGAGCTGCAGGTTGTGGATTATCATTGGAGTGTTAGGTTAGATTGAAGAAACTCTACACTTGAATTTGTTTGAAGTTATATGTTTATAAGATAAATGTAATTTATTGTTTAGTTTGGTTAGGAATTACTTATTTGTTCTAATTCATGGATTAGCTTGTTTAAAGGAGTTGACGAAAATTTTGGGATGAATATACTAGTTTTATGTCATGTTATTATGGACTATTCTAGGAGATGGATGGTAATTTGACTTTTGATTTGTAAATAATGCTATAAATGGATATTTATGCAAGTGATATTACCGATATTGGAGATGAGTATGAGATAAGATTTATGACAAAAAACAGTCAAACTTGAATTGGACAACCGTAGCAGAACCATCAGTCGAGTCAAGCAGACTATCTTTCACTAATTGGACCATAACTCTTTTTTGAAAAGTCCAAATTGTGCACCGTTTTTCTATTAGAAACTTAACTCATATATATTTTCAACCATATAAGTCACACACGCTAGAAATACCTGAGTTAAATTAATTTATTCTCCGAAGTTGATCAAAAATTTGCACTGTGTTATTCCTTAGATATCAAAGTGTCGTGATTTTTTTCTTAAACTCTGAAGGACTTATCCTTAAATGAGCTTTCACGCTATTTAGGCTTTGACTTAGAGACGCCCCTTTGTTGATTGAAGTGTTTTGATGGATAACAATATAAAATATGACTATGATTTGGTGTCTTGTTGACTCTAAGTATTCTATTCTACTATTAGTGTTGCTTATATTTTTGGAAGTTAAGGAGATGTGATAACCCCATTTGGATGTGTGGAGATAAGGTTAACTTAGATTGTTTTTTAAGATGGACTAAACTTTGAATAATAAGGTTGGGAAAAATTATGTGTGTTACTCAAAAGTTATAGAAATTGAAGAGATATGGTAAAGTAACCTCGAATGGGAGCCTATTTTTGAAATAATGATTGAAATTGTGATTATTGGTCTTAAATGAATAGGATGTTGTTTTATAACTATGCACTTGAGATTCTCAATATTTGTTTGAAAATATTACGTAGTATTGATTAAACTTCTTTTGAAAGTATTAATAGTTTAGAAGGGTCATAAGTAGAATACTCATTGAGAACGATATACTTAGGTAACATTATTTCGTGGTGGATTTAGTTAACTATACTTATATTATCTAAAGTATTAACAATCAAAAATATCTTGGTTGAGTGTGGAGTTAATAGTTGATTTATATTTACAAATTTTGATTGAAAATTTGAGGTTGAGTTATGGAAATGAACTTATAAACATGTAAAAAGAAAATTTAGGAATCCTGACTAAGTTGTAGTAGTTATCTTTGACCCTAGATATTGTAGGATTAAAGATTATAGAGACTTAAAAGCTCGAGGTTAGATATAACAGACAATTATTAAAATAAAGATGATATCTAAAGTTTAATATAAACTTCTATTATTCTGTGAGATCTTTTAATATTTTTATTTTTGGAGTTGTGTTGGGGGAATTTGAAGTTCTTTTTTTTCTCTCTCTTAATACATTATTGAGATAGGTTTAATTAATTATACTTGAATATTATTGGCATGAGTATTGGAGATTTGAACTTAACGGTTAGTGGTAATAATTGGAAAGATGTAATTTGAGAAATCAATGATGATACCTATGAAGATTGACTTTAACATGAGTGTAGAAAATTTATGTAATTTTGGGGATAAATGATTATGGTTATCCTAATAATTAGCAAATCGTTATTATCTTGGGAATTATGAATAATTGCTAAGGATATGATGACTAATGGAATTAAATTGAAGAATATTAAGTGAATCATTGAGAGTCTTGTTTTAGTTTTGATTATATCATAAGAAGTCTGGGATAGAGCATTGAGAGAAATTTTGGGATTCTTGACAATCTATCTTCACATTTTTGTATATTACAAGACATATGTTGTACTGGATTGTATCATAGAGATTCGAAAGTATAGGTATTATGAAAAGAGTTGTGATGTTGATGAAAGCCACTAAGAAATGATTTCATGGTTATTAATTCTAGTTCAAGGTTAGAAATTAAGAATGAATATTTGGAAGATAGAAAAAATAATTGGCCTTAATTGAGTTGGTGAATGTAGAGATATTATGATTGATTTAAAAGTATAAATTCGAATACAAGTGAGTTATGAGACGATTGTAAGACTTATTGATTTGAGCTCCGGATTGGGGACTGAGAGTAAATATCTTTGAGATATAACTTGACTCTTAACCTAAGTAGTATAGTTGGTTAATTACTAAAATTTCCTTTGAATGGATTAGATAGATCATTGGTGTACACATTTTAGAAGTTATAAGTCGAGGACAAGTGTGATTAGGTTTCAATTATACACTTTGGTAAAATCTGACATATCTTCTCAAAACTTTCAAACTTATGAGAATTCTTATCTTGTGTCTAGTTTTGATTTGTGAATTAATGGATTATAATTTATATTAGAGTGCACATCGAATTATTTAAGTAATGACTATAATGGTGAAAGAAATAAAACTAGGAGATATTAAAATTTGTAAAACTATAATATGAGTATTGAGCAGGGTTGAAACCAAAGGCAAGCTATTGATCTTGTGGGATTTTGTACAGAGTAATAAAATAATTGAAGTATTTTGATCATAACTTTTAGAGAGAGACAAATATGGAGTGAAGACTGAAAAGTTGAGAGACTTTTGAATAAACTACTATGACTTGCTGCAATAGAAGATCAAACCTAACTGTTGTTTTCAACTAAACATCAAGGAGAGAAGGATTGAAGAAGACACCGCATAGTAAATTGAGCAAAGCAGATTAAGTGGCAGGGGTGTGCATATACAAATCCAAGGCAAAACAAAGACAGTTAGAAGTCAACCTGTTCATGCATTAACCTAAATGACTATTTTGTTGATTCACAAAACAAAAATGGTTGGAAGTTGATGATGGTAAGCTCAGGAAAAGGAAAGTGATATAGGCATGCATTTCTAAGAAATTGACGTAAAACCCCACGAGGACCTCAAGGTAGAAGGTCAGCTAAAATTTGGCTTGAATCTGCAAAAAAGACTGGTGACAGCACCAATACAGAGATGTGTTTCTGACCAAAGGAGGTACAAGAACAAGGGGAAGGCCGGAGATACATGGGCTAAGGTCCAGACAAATAAAAATTGTCCAATGATATGCAAAGTGTGACGGATGTGCGTGATCGACCCAAGATGTAGGAGCAGGTTTCAGTTGAGTGCAATGTATTAGATCATATTTTTCTTTTTCAACATCAACAAGCACCAATGTGCCATTCAGCTTTCATTAGTGCTTCATTCGTAGCAATCTAAGCAATTGAATTCTCATTATGTCAACTTGGAAAGATAACTAAAATGACACAAAACCAAACTCATTCCATTATCTTTCCTGCGAAAAAACACTTCAGCACAAACGAGCAACTGAGGTATCCACACCATAAAGAACAAGAAAAATATACAATTGGTAAACATAGGGATATATCATTTCATGTTGGATTCCTAAATCAAGCAACATGATCATAGTCCAGATAAGAGGTAGCTTACATGCAAGCTATATTTTTACAATGCTGCAATCCAGTGTAGATCAAGCAGTAAACAGAGATGGGTTGGCTGTTGCAGAACCCACTTGGACTTCAAGCAGTTCTAGACGACGCTCCAGTGTATCAAGCTTCTCATTCAAGGATGCCAGCTTGCTTTTTGTTGTAGCCTCTGGCAGACAAGAGATCATGATGCCAAAAGGGAAACCCATTACATTCAAATTGTGCATAATTCTACCTCATGGGCTGCAACTATTACAAAAATGAAACTGAAAGTAATCATAAACAAACAAATTAGATTGGATTCATGTTAGTGATTTCTAAATAACGTGCATTATTCGTGAATCAGTGACTAGGTACATATCAACTATGAGGAAAGAATTCAAAATAAAAGGACATTAAAAGAGAGGAAAACAAGCAGGTTAAACTTGCTATCCAGAACCAAACTCACTCAAGAACATTTTTGACCAGATAAAACGTGGTCAATGGAAGTTGTACTAGATCGCCATTGTTCAGAAAGATTCCAGTATCGAAGACAATATTGTGACCAAAAGTACAATGGAAGGGCACATTTTGAAAGAGGATGGCTGGTCAGACAAACTATGCATTCCTTGTCCGGGCACTCAGAGCACTTGGATTGAACTTAGCACACTGAACTATTGCAATTGCTAAATTGCAATAGCGGGCGTAGGTTCACTTAAAAGTTCTCAACAGATTCATCATATGCTTACAGAGTATAATTGAATCAAGCTCACAAACTGAATTTTATCCAACGAAAATTTTGACAACTTTTACGAGAGCAGTTTTAGAATTAGGATCTTTGCTTATGAGAGCAAAAACACATGATTTATTAATTTTACAATTTCCGGAAACCTTGATATATATTCTGAAAAAATGCAACTGATTAATTAATGCCTTAATATTTTCTCTAGGTTTTCCGAAGCATTTGAATTGAGAAAACAACACTTATAATATTAGCATGTTCGAGACTTATATTATTTCTCCAAAAAAGAAAAAATCAGCTTCCTCGATAGTTAATAACAGTCAAGAAATATAAACAATTGAATTCAGTTCAAAATTCACATAATAACACAACATTATGACTTCAAAGCATACAGTTTTAAGAGAGAAATGAGCCAAATCTCGAAGCACATCTCAGCCCAGAATCAAGATCAAAGGCAAGAACTTTAGGTGCTGTTAGTATCAATCAACATCAGATTTCAAGGCCCAATCATTAGCATCTACTATAACTTTCACAAATATTCAATGGAAGCTAGATCATAGCATTTGTGTTTGATTAAAATTGGAGAAGGAAAATTTACAAGGAAACATTTGGCTCACCGAATTGGACGAGGAAGTCAAAGAGGCGACGGACATTGAGGGAAACATGAGATATGAACTCGCGATTCTCCCAATCTGCTTGCACTGCTATCCCCACGTTTACTGCGTTCGTTATTCCTCCTGCTCTTGCCATTGCTCACTCAGAGAGAGAGAGAGTTACTCAATTGAAAAATCTGAGTCTGATCTTCGAAGGCAAGCACGTCATTATCACGTTAATAAGAGTTAGGAACTTATTCTTATGGCCAGTAATTATAAATGCCACGGGTCAACCCGGAATGAAATGAAGACAAAGTGGTTGGTAATGGTTTTAAAATTGTTGTTGGATCAATCTATTTTAATTATTTTTTAATAAATTAAAAGGGTTTATCTCTTAAATAAGTATCTAAGTAAACGTAAAAAAATAATTTATTCTTCCAAAATCATTTTCCCAAAATTTTTTTCATTTTTATATTTATTATCATATTATCATTACCACATCCACCCACCACCACCACCAAAGGCAGAACTACATGGAGACCAAAGGGGCATGCCCCCCACCCCCACCCCCAACCTCCCCTTCATATTTTTAAAATTATTTATTCCCTTTTAAATATCCAAAAATTTTATATGGTCTTATAAGTTTCTAAAAATTCTTTTTGTATAAAATACATTCAATTAGTGTATCCAAAATGCATAATAGCATCACATTAAACATTTAATAACTAAAGGTTTTTCGACACAATGGTCCCCAAAGTATTAGTTCGTTGTCATTTTGGGCCCTCATGTTTAAATTTTGTCATTTTAGTTCCTAACCTTTTAAATTTGTGTCTAATTGGTCCTTTTCCTAACCTCTGTCCAAATCCCAAACAAAACCGTGACATGTGCTTCACATGTGACCTGCTTGTGAGGGGCAAACTTAGCAAATAACATTTGTTCTTCTGCTTATTTTAAGGAAATTGAAACATTGTTGGGTTATTTGGGTAAACCATTTTAGGGTTCTGAGAGACCGAATGGAATGTATTTTGAATGTTGTTGGAGACATAGTCGAAGGAACGATTTGAAGTTGTCCTGCCATAAATATCGACTTTAAAGTGAAGCTGCCATGATAAATCTCTGCCT